CGGAGAAGACAGGTTCCAGATCGAGATCGAGTTTTGTCGATGAAACCAAGGAACGCGTTTTTGTTATTGTTGTTTGGTCAAAGGTGGAGATTTGTGAAGTTGACCAAGACAATGGGCAAGCTAATTGGGCCTTTACAAGAATGTTAATGAAGACAAGAAGAGAAGAGGAATGGGCTTTCGGATTTGAAACTCACGTACATGGCATTGTGACAACCGATTAAGAAGAAGCTTTATATACAATCTAGTTTTCTTTTTAGGGTTTATGCTTGATAACCTCCTCTTGATATTCTTGTAAACGGCAAAGAACGTACCCTTTGTAAACCTTGATTTCTAGTGGAGTTTGAGGGCAAGAGATTCCTCACGAGACGAACCTGTAGTCATTTGGGGAACTCGTTAAACGTCTTGGTGTTATTTACTTTCCTGTCAAACAAACTATCTCAAGTAACAGGTTAAGTAAAGACTATAAAAAAGTCTTGTTTAGGAGCTGCGTACCTGACACACGTTAGTAATTATGTTTATATTTCATACAGTTTTATAACATAATGTAGCACGTATTTCTTACCAGAGTGAGGAGCCATGATTTTGATGTAGTAATCCGGGTTGATACTTCTAAAGTAAAATTAGTGGACCAACATGTAGTTCCTTGCAGCTATTGAACCATTAAGAATTCAGTAATTAGTGATAGAAGAAAGTTAAAAATTTGAAGAGAAACAAATTTAGGGACTTACTCGAAAGACATAGACCAAGTTTGCATTTCCTTAATTTCTTGTTCTTCAAAGAAAACCAACGCATAGCGGAATCTGCATCGTGTCGGCCTACTTCGTGCAATTCTTTGTCGGTTAATTCTCGAAGTGAACCATCCTTATTTCGCAGACTAGGAGTACGTGTTTCAATACTTTCTTTCTTGACAGAAGGAAAATAAGTCATTGCAGTTAACCAATCAAGTGGATCTTCTTCCATAGTTCGATCAAAACCATGAACTATCGAAGCTTGTGATAGCCTTCCCAAAGTTTTTTGGAGGTAGTTTTGTGTATCTAATTCAAGGTCCATATCGCAAGTCTGAGTTAAATTCTCCAAAAGAATGTTACTATCTATTCCGTCATTTTTTCAGCATGTTAAATGACAAACAAAAATTATAAAGTTATTAACACCGAAGAAAGCACAATATAAAACATATGTTTACATTCACATAGAGTTAAACACAAAAAAAAAGGTTACATACATAATTACACCAATATTTTACAGACTAATGCCACTAATATGTAAATATATGACATTTTTTTTAACCGGTTACAACATTATAGATTGATACACATTACAGATTGATACAAAACAAAAGTGAACAAGAGTTAGAGTTTTTTTGTTGATTACCTTTCGTAGTTTCTGCGGATGGTTCTCCACGTTGATAGTTAAGGGTGTTGTCATGGTAGATGGTTGTCCACTACGTCTTGCTAGTGTAGTTTCAGTGACTGCATCTTTGAGACTCCTAACCTCACTTTCCATATTGCCAAATCGGTCACCAATTTCCTTGTCGATCTTCTTCTTAATCTTGTTCTACTAGTCAAACAAACTAGTAATAAAAGACTTCAAGTCTTCATTAAACGCTAAAACTTTTCCCACTGAGCGCTGGCACAACAATTTCTGCTTTCGTTACTCTACACTATGATCAAAAAACTTCTTCTTAGTCTTCCTCAAAGTGGAGGCACAACTGTCGTCTGCCTTCGGAGTACTAACATCAGGAATTGCATCTACAATCTCATTCTTTATCTCCACCTCCTCTACACCATGCTGAGTCAAATCATTCTGAACTGGTGCATTAACTTCCCAAATTTGCTCACTCCAGTCTTATCCACCTTTAATGAGATGAATTATATTGTCAACTCTTTCATCTCTCATTTCGCCCTTCCTCATAAACTCAGCACACTTGATTACTTAGAAATTCCTAATAGAAGAGATGAAAGGATACAAAAACCCTACAAGAAAGTTATTATAATCGAAATTAGTATCGAAATGATGAAGAAAATTACAACAAAATCAGCTATAAGACTAAAGATGCATCATCATAATTGTGAATGTGTCTTTGTATAATCTTTTACTCTAAGATTCAATTCTATAATTCCATAAAGAGGTAAAACTATTATTTTTAGTGTCATAAAAACTAGAAAATTCCAACAGAAAAAGATAGTTTACTTAATTCTGATCCAAATGAGGACTCTAGTCGTTTGAATTCTGAATATGAAACCTTTGAAACTCCTTACCAATTTGAACATCTAGGAAATACAATGCCATCCTCATTCAGTTTTTGGCCCAACATAACCTCAAAGTCTAGAATAGCTTCCATTATCCAACCCATAAAAAGTGTAGCTAGCCTTCCGCGTCAATTTCTTCCTAGCAGTCTTGATCGAATCCAGTAGATGATCAAATGATTCAAGACCCCACGGATAAGTCTGTAGCTTTCCAAAATACATAACCATTTTAATGTAAGTGTGTGAGATAGCGACATTCTCATCCGTTGCAAATAACAATCCAGCAATAACACACAAATTCACCAAACACAATATATCTACGCGCTTCCACTTGTTAGGATCCAGCATGTGCACATTCATGATGTCCTGAATGCAAATGCTACTCCCTCCATTTAGCAAGCTACTCCATAAACCTTATCATCTACCAAGTCATAAATGTTGTAGTTTTCCTCTTTCTCGACCTTGAGGCCAGACACGGCATAAAACTCTTGCAAAGAAAATCGAAAAGGCCTCCTAGCAAACACAATCCATAACTCATGCACTTTAAATGTTTCTAGCTACCTACACATGAAGTTGTGTATCAATTTCCCCGAGTATCAGACAATTTTCATGGATTGCCATGATATAAGAGAAGGGAGGATTTGTCTTCACGTCATCGTATTCCTTTGGCAGCAGCTCTTGCTCTTTCTTTAGAATCGACATGCTGCACCTGTTGTTGATCTTTAGAACTTTCGGTTCATGTCGTTTTCTAAAAATTCTTTTAGACAAATCTAAATCCACGCACACAAATACACCATTTCAATTCACCAACTGAGAGCAGATCAGTATAACTAAGTTCAAGCTTTTGTTTCTCTTTACCAAAGCAATCTTAGTAACCAACCAAAAAAACATTTATCTTTGAACAAATCAATACGTGCCAAATACAGAACCCTAATCTCAAACCAACCATTTTTCTCAAATCAACACAACCAAATGAAGGAGTACCGAAATCCCTAAAACTCAAAATGAAACCACCCAAAACACACGAAACCAAAACAACCTGAAAAAGAAAAGAAGTTATCTCGACCTTCAAAGTTAACACAACATAGAGAAACAAAACCGTAGGTTGACCAATATTCTCTCTAATTGAAATCAATACAGAACTGAATCAAATAAAACCATAAGCAAACACAATCTAACCGGAATGCACATACCCGATGCAAGATTTGAGGAGAGCAAATTCAAGTAGGAAAATTGCGTCGCCGGTGAGGAGAAATCGACGGTTGGGTTCGGTAGCCGGTGAGGAAGAATCGACGGGTAGGTTCGGTAGCCGGTGAGGAGGAAAAGAGAGGGTTTTGATAGTTTCGATGATTTCATATGTTTCGATGATTTCTACTTTTCAATATATTTTGTTTATAATATTAAGATATTTTCCATAAATCAAACAATATCTCACATATTTTCTTTATAATATAAATCTATTTTCTAGTTTAACAAAAACATTTATGTATACTAAATTAGGGGGCAAAAACAGATTTCACTTTAACTTAAGCATAATGGGACAAAACCAAATACTTTAAGGTGTGTTGGAACATAACGAAGTTCAATGTGTCCAAATTTCTCTTTTGGTTTACCTTTTGTCTCTTTGTCGGGTTTCCTGGATTTGGAATCTGGATTTTCATATCTAGAAATTTGATTTGGGTTTTTTCGCTTTTTTCTCTTAGCTATGTGCATCTTTCTTTGCTTTGTTCCTTGTTAGATTGGATTTGATTTGCCATGGCGATGTCTTTTCAGGGTATTCGGTCATGGTGGTGCTTTTAGCCGCTTGGGTTGTTGACGCAATAATTTTGATTCGCATATTTCATTCAAACCCTTGGGAAGTAAGTTGTTTGAAGCAGTTTTCGGTTCTTTTTGGTTATTGTTTTGGATGGAGAGTTAAGGTTCGTGGAGTTGCTAACGCCAGATAAATTGATCTTTAAGATCTTTTGACGGTGCGGCATAGCTATTCTCGCTTCGGTTCCTCTTTATCATTTTTCAGCTCTAGTCCTAGGTTTGACCTCTTTTGTTTCAGTGGTGATTAGGTTTTGACGTCCTTGGTTTTGAGTTGTTGTTTCGACTTCGGGCAGGATGTTTGTTCAAATTATCGGTCTAGGTTGCATCTCTCGTGCCATCATCTACAAGCTTTGACTTGTTGTAATCTGGTTTACATGGCGGGTAGCCGATCTCTATCATAATTTCTTGTTGCGGAATAATCTGTTTTCGGGATAGTTTTACCTCGCCCAGCAATGTCCCTCTTCCATGGTTCTTCTTCGAGTTTCTCGAGCAGATTGCTTTTGTTCGATCTCCATCTCGAAAGTTATCTAGGGTTTCGGCTGTTTGAAATAATGGCTCATTCTTCTCTTGATTCCTATATGGTGTTAACTTTGAGTTTGTGTTTTATGTTGTTAATTATGTTTTGCTTATTATGCTTAAATGAGGATTCAATCCCTTTGTTAAGTTCCTCGATACGAGGCTTTTGGTTTGGAGGGTTCCTTGAAACTCGCTAGTTCTGTCTCCGGAAACAATTCATCCTTTGCCGGCTTTGTCTCAAAAAGATTTAACCGGATCACTGAAAAATATCTAAGATGACAGAAGAAAAAAAGCACAGAACTTTGTTGGTCTACTCAGTCAGTACCCACAGTCAAATTAATCACTTAAACCAAAATTTTCTGCAGCTAAAGCTACTGTAAACCGAACTAAAAAAAAAAGGTAGAATTGGAGGCAACATTTGATTAATCAGACAGAAGAATACATATTCCTCCAAGCTTCGGGCACGTTCTGGCCACAATCCTCCAGGACATTCACCAATGGTCCAGCCGGATAGGACGCCGCAACTTTTTGTGTTAAAAAGCTGTGAAGTACACCATGGACGCTGTCTCTAGCCATACTTGTCAGAATCTGGATATATGTATCAATTGATGGAACAAAATCTGGAAGTAGAACGGTTTCAAAGTCCCTCATAACTGTAGTATCCAACTGCTCGATATCAATCAAGCGTGCCATTGGCTTCCGGCTAAAGCCAAAGC